TAAAACATCCGCATGGGGAAGGAATCCCATCTACCACCACCACCTTAACACAAAAAACCCAATCAAACAGCAGCAAAAAAACACACACAAGAAGAGAGGAACAAACACAAAATTCCTTGAAACTCTGTTGCCTCTAAAACGCAGCCATGATGACAAATTTTAAGAAATGTGGAAGAGCTGAGAAACGGAACAATTCTGTCCTGCAAGCAAGCAGCAGAAGCAAAGATTATGAACTAAAAGACATTTAAAACTACCTGTCAGTCTCTTGCTCAAGTAACAGCTTGGATGCTGACAATGTTTTTTTTTAAAAATGAGCTGATGTGGAGAGCAAGAGTCACAAATCCTATAATAAATGAGTCCAAGCATTCAGCTGCACAGAAAACTTCAGCTCTTGCACAAAGACTCTTAACACCTTTGTGTTTGCTTTACTTCAGCAAACATTGAACAGGCAGATTGTGAGCCAAAGAAGAGAAAAACATCTGGCAAAGATGTGATTATGCACTTTGAAGCATTAATCATTAAAATCCTGTTCAAAAAGCTGGATTTTATAGAATCATTAACTTGGACACATCTTTGTGTCTGAAGGCTCAGAAGTTCCAACACAGTTTTTATTATAAAATCAGGATTAATGTACACTAATTGATTTTTGAATTCTCAGCCAGATTTACATTCTTTGTGAACATTATTTTAACTGCTTTTATCTCAAATCTATGCATAAAACAGTCAAACATTTTGACAGGGGGCCTTCTGTAAATGTGCTTTGGGAGTTAAAGCTACTTAAGGGGTCCCACCATTTTCCCCAGTAACGCAGTCTTCCTGAACGTGTAATCTTCAAAAAGTGTCTTCCCATGTAATAGAGAACTAGAAGGTAGAACCATAAGTGAGCTGAGGAAGCTAAAGAGCCTTGTAAAAATACTTATCAGAGGAACAGGACTTCAGTACACAAGAGCACTGTTGGCATCAATGCTTAAGCAGTAACATTTGCTTGCTGGCTTTATTGCTGAGATGCTTTACAAAGTCCTACAAGCTGTTGCCAAAGGTTAGCTCACATAAACCCAAACCCACACTTAATAACATTCATAAAGTGCAAAACAATTCTGTCAAGTGACCAAAGGAAAAATTAAAAAGCCCTCATAAGCAGTTACAGGCTGCAATCGTACTCCTGTGTTACTTCCAAACGGCAATCCAGTTGAGGAATATGTTTAAAACACAACCATGTTCTCCCCCTGGCCTGAGGCTTTCACCCTTCGTTTAGAGCACAACCACACGAGCTGCTGACTTGACATTCTGTACAACGGAGAGGCAGTCCTGCTGCTGATGGAGGAAGTTTCCATTTCACTGGTACTAAGCCCCATGCAGGTTCCCAAACCAAGTCCACCCCTCTGGCCCCCTGCTGAAGACCTCCACCGCTCTCTCTTGAGCTGATGGCTGAACGAATGTGGTTACTGAGCAGAAACCTCAGGTAGGAGAGGGAGAGAAGTAACAAAGTGTGAGAAAACTTAAAAACAGTACTAAAAAAGGATAAATGGTTTATCAGAAGTCACGCTCAGCAACAGGCTACCCTTAGTCCCAATACGGACATCAGTCATTACTTCAAGTTAAACATAGAAGATAACACCACATGAAATACCAGGATAACATCTGGAGATTTAGTGGCCTGAAGTATCATTTCTGGACAATTTCTGCCCACTCCATCCCTCCCACTTAAAAGTCATAGTAAAAATTCTAAATGTGGAGTATATTTAATACATTCTGAGGACAGAAACAACGTACCATAGACTCCTAGTCTGACCTTCCCATAATACAGTTCAGTAATTTAATCCAAAATTCCTCCATTAAAGCCTAAGGCACATCTCTAAACCGAGCTTTATTTAGAAAGATAGGCAATGTCTATTTTTAAAAAACAAATTATCTTTAATGCACTGGTTCCTTCCTTTTTTCCTAACACTGGTTTTGCTCAAGCAGTTTGCTTTTACAATTACATTTTACTACAACAGCAAAACGTTGACCAAAAGAACGGCCTGATTATTTCCTTCATTTTCATCTGAAAATTGTTCAACTGCTCCTACATAAGCCACCAAAGCACCGAAGTCAGTGAACTCAGTCCCATATACAAAACAAGCTCCATCACAGCTGGCTTCAACTTTGTTCTCTCAGTTACCAGGAACCTAAATAAATCAAGAAACCAAAAAAGCCTCCAAGATTTCTACACAGTAGTCAGCTACAGTGGTGTTTCCACCCTGCACCAGGAGAAGTATTACTGTTTGGATATATGGGCTGCAGATGAAGGACTTCCTCCAAGATGCATTTTGTATGTTTCAGAAGTCATTAACAAAACCGTAAAGAAAAATAAAGATACGCCAAGACAATAATAAGAGATTCTCAGCAAAACATAATAGCTAGCATTTTGTTAGTTTTACTTCCCAACTGGGTGCTCTCATAACCTCCACGAGAGACAAACGCCCTATGCAGCTAAGGATTTTGAATCTTCACTGAAACCAGAACCAGAGAGAACACAAAGGAGCTGCTTAACTCCTACCTAAAGACCTTAGCCTCAGCCTCAACTTGGATCTCACTCCTGGGGATGTTAATCTCCTGGACATAATTAGACATAAGTGACATTTATAAATATTATATTAATTACATTAGATGTAAAAAGCTGATACTTAGCTTCTAAGTGTCCAAGAATTTCCGAGAAACCAAAGAAAGTTTTGGAAGTGCAAAAATTCACAAAATAAAATCCAGGAACTCAATTGTTACGAACACGGACTAGTATGAAAAAAAACCACCCAGATCAGCTGGACACAGAGGTGGTCAGTTTTCCTTTCAATCCATGATGTTGATCATGTTTTCCATAGCGTGCAGTGAACCCTGAAATTGTATTTCCTTTTCACCATGAACTGTTTCTTACAGGAGCTCTATTAGGAATTTGTAAAGCAACTAAATTAGGCCTTTTTCTGAAGGTAATTACAACTGTAACATCTGCAGATACAAAACCGTAACTTTTAGTAGACTTTGCCTGCAAGAGCCTTACTGAGCTATCGAAAGTTGAGGAACACTGTTAGGTACGTTGACTCTGTTTGACAATCCATTTGAATCTTTTTTACCAAA